GTTGCTTGTGCTGTATTTGTGCTAAACAGGTGCCCAACAAGGAGTGTTCTTGGAAGAACCCCAAGAGAGGCTTGGAGCGGCAACAAGCCAGATGTTTCATTCCTACGATTATTTGGTTGTTTGGCATTTCCTATATACCAGACAAACAGAGGAAGAAGTTGGATGATAAAAGCGAGAAGTGCATCTTCATTGACTATAGTGACACAACTAAAGGTTATAAACTGTATAACCCAGTCATTGAAAAGGTAATCATTAGTAGGGATGTCCAGTTTTTAGAAGATGAAGCTTAGGACTGGAACCAAAAAGGTGACCAAAGAAACATTACTATCGAAGATGAACCATTGAAGGAGATACAGAAAAACCTCCATCATCTTCGACCAGTGGTGCATCTTCTTCATCATCTTCGACTGGTGGTGCATTTTCTTCCCCAATAGCAGCTTTAGAACCACATTTACGTCGTTCACAGCGATTGCGAGAGACTCCAGCAAAATTCAGGAATTATGTGGTCACAAGGGATGATGACAGTGATAGTGATGGAATCACTGATGAAGCTATGGTAAACTTTTGTTTATTTGCTAAATGTGACCCTATATCCTATGATGAAGCCACTGTAGATTAAAAGTGGATCCAAGCAATGGATGAAAAAATCCACTCCATTGAAAAGAATGACACATGGGCGCTAACTTCTTTACTATCTAGTAAGAAGTTCATTGGTGTCAAGTGGGTGTATGAGACAAAATACAAACCCGACAGTCAGGTGGACCATCACAAAGCCAGACTGGTCATGAAAGGCTATAAGCAAAAGTCAAGGATTGATTATTTTGAAGTATTTGTACTAGTGGCTCGAATGGATACCATTCGGATGGTAGCACTCGCAACTCAGAATCATTAGAAGATCCATTAAATGGATGTGAAATCAGCATTTCTAAATGGGTTCCTTGATGAGGAAGTGTATGTGGAGCAATCACAAGGCTATGAGAAGAAAGGACATGAAAATCAAGTTTACAAATTGAAGAAAGCATTGTATGGGCTAAAACAGACACTTCAAGCTTGGTACACAAGCATCGACACATACCTGTTAGAGCATGGTTTTCAAAAGTGTCCATATGAGCATACACTATAAATCAAGTCAAATACTAATGGTGATATTATAATTATATGCCTTTATGTTGATGACTTGATATTTACAGGAAACTGTGAAAAGATGTTTGCTGAATTCAGGGAGGCCATGATGAGCCAGTTTGAGATGATAGATTTGGGATTGATATCATATTTTCTAGGCCTGGAAGTGAAGCAGATAAATGATGGCACATTTGTTTCACAGCGAAAATATGCTAATGATATTTTGAAGCGACTCAATATGGAATCGCTCAAATCAATTCGGACCCCTGTAGCAGAACGGTTGGAGCTGAAGAAAGAAGAAACCGGTGAACTAGTAAATCCCACTTATTTTAAAAGTATTGTTTGCAGTTTAAGATATTTGACTTCTACTAGGCTATATATTACTTATAGCGTGAGAATTATTAGTTGGTTCATGGAAAAACCATACCAATCACATGTGCATGCAGCAAAAAGAATTCTACGGTATGTTAGTGGAACTCATAATCATGGAATTTTATATTCTTACACTGACAATTTCAATTTAGTAGAGTATACATATAGTGATTGGGCAGGAGATATTGAAAGGCGGAAGAGTACTTCTGGATATGTGTTCTTTCTCGAATCAAGAGTAATTTTGTGATCCTCGAAAAAACAACAAGTTATTGCGCTCTCAACAACCGAAGTAGAATACATGGCAGTAGCTTCGGTAGCATGTCAAGGGATATGGCTTCGTAGGATGCTTTGTGAACTGATGCATGAACAGAAAGGTCCTACAAAATTGACATGTGATAACAAGTCGGCAATTGCGTTAGCCAAGAATCCAGTTTTTTATGGCAGGAGCAAACACATAGACATCAAGTATCATTATATCCGTGAGCTGGTCAAAGATGGAGAGAATGAACTTAATTTCTTTAGATTCGAGGATCAGATTGCAGATATTTTGACAAAACTATTGAAGGCATATTTGTTCGACAAATTGGAGACGATGCTTGGTGTTGTTGATTTCCAAAATCAATTTTAAGGGAGGCTGTTGGAAATATTAAAATTGCTTTTTGTCTTCATCAAACTTAGTCTTCAAGATTATAGATCAAACTTGGTTCTCAAGGTTGTAGATCAAACTTGCTCTTCAAGTTTAACAAGTCAAACTTGGTCTTTAAGAAAACTTCACCACCTTAGGAGTAGTATAAATAGGTTATCTCCACCCCATTTGTGTTAGTGTATGAAAAGCCATAGAAAGAGAGAGTTAAGAATTGTGAGAGCTAAGGTTTTATTTCTCTGTGTAAAGACTAAAAAAAAAGCATTTGGAATATTATTCTCTCGTTTGTGTATTTGTGTACTTCTCACCAAAAATCTTCAAAGTTTGTCTATATCCTTTTTGGTTCCTACATTTCATTCGACGCTCGGTAACTTTTTTTTTTGAATGTTTGGACGTCTTAACTTCTTTTCTGATCACTCGGAGCGCCGCAAGTTTTCAATCAATCACTTAAGTTGCGAACGACGCTCGGTAACTATTTTTTTGAATGTTTGGACGTCTTAATTTTTTTTCTGATCACTCAGAGCGCCGCAAGTTTTCAATCAATCACTTAGGTTGTGAATGATAATCATTTTCTTTCCGGGCCCAATTTCTGCTCATAAATAGATTTTTTTTATTTTTATTCCCTGAATGAGTTTCTAAAAAAAAAGTAACGTTTAATAATGACACAAAATTTCCATTCTCGGAACAAAAATTCGTTTGATAGAGTCGATGTAGAATTCATATGGCGGCCGCTGGCAGCGATCGGCGAGGGCGAGTTTATGGTACCTTGAGTGAGTTGAGTTACCTTGGAATTAGAAAAAATAGTTGGATCACAAAATATACTGGTTTGGAGTAAACTTGTCACGCATGTATCAATTTAGGGTTTTTAGTGATCAAAAAATTAATTTGGAGTAAATTTGTCACAAGTATATTGATTTGGGATTTTTCATGATACTAACCCAAAATGAAAAAAGGAGAACAAAAATTGAGGAGGGAGAAGCAAGAGTGAGACGGAGATCCTAGCATTGATCTTTCGAAGGGACGGCACCGCCACCCTGCATTTGTAGACTTGTATTTGTTGACACGGGTCTTTAACGCTCGCCCGGTGCCCTGCCTTCACTAGCTCGTGTTAAGACTAGCAACTTGTGTTCACGTATCGTGATTGTTCTTGTGATTCATGTCGATTCATGTTTTCCTAGAACGTTTTGAATTTAACATGTCAAATGATTGAATTACAATAAAAATGCGCTTCGTGTCAATACGTGTCAACATATATAGTTAGGTTGTGTCGTATTCGGGTTTTTTCTTTATAATTTGCATTTTACCTTGTGTCGAGCAAATGGGTCGAATTATTTGTTACCAACTCTATCTCAAGTTGACTCAACATTCCTTGCCAATGATGCCACCCCTTCCACCCCCGCCCCCCTCCTCTCCACTCCTCTCCCCGACGTACAACCCCCTCTCTCTCTCCTCGATTCTTTTTTAAAAAATGAGCAATTTTTTTTTCTATATGGTGCCCACTTGATACCGCAATGTTATAGCTCGTCCTAGAAAATATTAAAAAGAGCATACCCTAAATAATCATAAACTTATTGCAATTGTGTCAATTCAGTCCTAAACTTTTTTTTATATAGATTGAATCCTAAGCCTTTCGGATTTGTGCCAATCCAGTCCATCCAGCCAATTTTAGCCAGCTGACATTAATTTGAACACCGGCCATCCAACGTGGCACAACTGGTGCTAATATGGAAAATTTTTAATAATATATCACAAGGAGGTGAACGACTGTAATTTGTGCATGTCCATAATACAAATTTTTCTTCATTGATATTTCGTTGGATATTAAATGCAGCAACAAAAATCAATGAGACTAGCTCGCACACGAGAGGGAGACAGAGAAGAAGAAGAAGAAGACACCATGAAATGAAATTCTCAAGCATGAAATGTTGCTAAATTGGAAGGAAGGTACGAGATGACAAAGTACAAAGACAGAACATAGGCTATGACAAAAGGGGACCTGTATAGTCCTATGGAAGATCAATTTTCCTAACGTAACCCGTCGTAATCATATACATTTTAAGTTACGCCTCGACAAAAGTTTTCTTCAAGTTTTCAAACAACAAAGAGATCTATTACTTTGCAATCCAACGATCACAAACTCATCAAGAATCGGTTTCTCGAAGGATTATAGAAGTCCGTGACAAGGAGAGCATCACCTCTTCTGAATTGAAGAAGAAACAAAAGAACGATGAGGTTCTACGGCGTTCGGTTATGGAAATTCCCTCTATTTCCATTTTCAGTCATCATTTAGAAACTGAAACCATTAGAGAAGGCAAGTTTGGTGCAAAAAGAATAATGAAGTGAATAAACAGATCGACCTAGGCAATTGGAAAGATGCTCCAGCTTTGTGAGAGCAAATTGTTGTGCAAAAGCATCCAACATCGATGTTTTCGCTCGCAATGGTTTACGCAACAAAGCGTAAATTCATCAAATAGAAATCATATACCACAGCTAGAGATAGATATACCACTATAGATGAGTCGCACTATAGTAAAACGAGCGGATACAATTTCAAGGGTGACACGAGCATGCAAAGTGAAGCAAGCTCACCTTGCCAAAGGAGGTGATCAAACTGTTCCAAGGACTTACTCAAGGGACATGATTCGTTGACCATAGCTATTCGCCTAAGTATGAGTTTACGGACCGCACCCAAATCGGTTAACGATTTCCACCAAATTCTCTTCAGAAAGATTAGAGGCACGGCGAGACATGTCGATTGTTATTTTAGATAGACCATGTTTGTTAAGAACAAAGCATGCAAAAATGGATTCTTCTACTCTCCAAGGAGGAGAGAGGAGTGATTACTTCATCTTAAACGACAAGCTAAATAGCAAAGCAGAAATTTTACCCCTTAAAGTCAATGAAATAAAAGCCACTTTCTCATAGAAGGCTACTTTCAACAAATGATTCTTGCAAGTGACAAACATTTCAGCCAAAACATCGAAACCAAAACTCACCGAATGGCCGCAACCCGCAATCCACGTGATGCTTGCAAGTGTTGAAGCTCGCCTGTTTAATGCAAGACGATCTCTCATGCCAAAAGCTGTGGATGCCACGAGGGAGTTCATTGTGCCACTGAAGACGGAAGAAAAAGAGGAGTTAATGGATGTATTCTTCATTAACATCACTTATTGTTGGGTTGCAACTTTGTGATCCCTGGCAGTTTAAGCTTCAAAAGACATAAGAATCAACAAGGTTAGCCACTCAAGCGATCGATAGTGAGAAAGCTTGCGGAAAAGCTGGTCATCTTACAGCTCAGTGAATCTTCCACACACTTTGTATTCTCATTAGAGTAGCAACAAAAAAGAGCTGATAATTTGCTGCATAAGCTCATTCAACAGCTCGGAAAATCAATTTAGACAAGGTAGATCAAACAGCTGCAGAGATTTCGAGAATTGACTTCTGCTCTGTTAGCCTCTTAACACGGTGATAGGCTCACATAAAACAGGACCAGTAGCACAGTATCATCATACCCCAAAACAAGTAATGATACAGAATGGAAACTCAGCTCTTATGATCTCATATCATAAGCCCAAGATCCATACATGAAAGGATGGAATCCAGTGATAGTACAGCAATTTCGATAAGCATTCAGATGGCAACCCCATCATGAAGCTAGAGCAACCGCAGACTTACCAACACATCCATGTTTTTCTAGAGGTATAGAATAAAGAGAAGCTATAGCAAAGTCTAATCAGAGAATTTGAAATAAATAAAACTGGTCTCACATAAAGATCGATGAGTGTGGCAATAGGTAACTGGGGGAATAAATATAAATAAAGAGTAAAGTGCAAAGTTTAGTTTAAACTAGAGTAAAGTTGGACTACGTACTCAACAATCTGCAGTGAATTACTGTAGTTTCAATTTAAGAGCAAAGCTTTCTTCATGAGCGAGCATAGTATTCCTCAAAAGACAGAACATCTTATGATATCACACAGCTCGACATGGAGAACTGGAGGGATGAAACAAAGAAGGTAAGTAAAGAAAACTCAGCTTCCCAATTTATCAGAAATAGCCCAAACAGCAGGAGTAGAATTTCTTTTGCTTTCATAAGCACCCTAGATTAGCCTGAACAAGTTCGTAAAGCAAAGAACTAGCTTGCAAGACCCATCTTCTCCTCATAAAGATCCAACAATTGGGGTGCTTCTCCCAAATAAGGGGTCACGAATTCTTTTAGGAACCTGCTCTCCGGAACTATCAAGGATGTAGCCAAGCTATGGGTATGGACCAAGCCCTTAGACAACAGGACTTGAAACACTGAACACCGAGGAACAATTCGCTTCTGTAAGCTCAGTGAGATCACCACCGGATGCCGCGCGATATGCAAAGAATCAAGCCCCATCTCATTGACAAAGTAGTCCATCACGTTCGTAATTTTGCTCTCCGACGCCGCCATACACCACGGATGCCTCCTAAAAGCTAAAGCAACTTCCTCTTCTGACCAACCCCACTTGCCATACACACCGATTTTCCTCCTCCACAACGGCTGGCTTATGCACCTAATTACGTGCAAAGCCGTGACAAAACCCACTTTCGAAGGCTCAAAACCTAGCGCCTTCACCTTATTCACGGCCTCATCGAACTGTTCAGGCGACACCAGGAATATCGGCCCATGGTACAGAACTAAGTGCCCAATGTTTGCTGGAGGCACTCCATTATCCCTCAAAATCTTGATTTTTGGAATGAGCAGAACACCCGGATCCTCGTACAACATTCTCGTACAACGTTTGATGGCCGCAACGGCATCCTCGCCGGATTGCACCAGATCGCCAATATAATCCAAAGTAGGCCTCAAATGGTTCTCCAAGCTCCTGGCCAATAACCTCGGGACCGCACTGATGACCCTGGCTAGATCAGAGTCGGAAAAGCCTCTGGAGCGCAAAAATTCGATCTTTGGCAAGAGAATCGCATCCGGGCTCGCTAAAAGCACCCCGGGGTATTTGCTGACGACGTCCGAGATCTGGGTCGGAGAGAAACCTCGTTCCTTGAGCAGACCCAGGACGGAGTCGGGTCTGGAAGGGGTTTCGAAGCAAACGCGCCGCGACGCCGAAAGGGCAGACTCTGGAGACAACCCGCAGGCATTGACGAGGTACGAGACCGTGAAGGAGCGCGACTCCGAGGAGGCGGAGCACGGTCTGAGCAGGGTTCGAGCTCCGGTGGTGGGAGGCTCAAGAACCACCCTAGCCTGAAGCAGGGCCTTGCGAGCGAGGTTGGCGAGCATGGGAACGAGTCGACCGGCGACGGACGTGCGAGAACTTCATGAAACTCCGAAATGGACTTGACCTCCGTTTCGCTCCTACACCGGAGCTGTTCCGCGGCGTCGATGGTTTCGTGTCGTGATGCGGTGACGATGTCTCTCTCGCAGGTTACTTCTTCACTGCGGGCTACTATGAAGAAGGCCGTTGGCGTCGAAGGCGATTTAGGGTTTTGATTCTTGATGTTTCAATTTTGAAAACGATCCCAAGTCAAAGCTGTTGCCCAATTTATTCTGACGTTTTGGTACCAAGGGGGAGTGCCAAATTTATTTTTGATACTCATTAACAAAAATTTTCGCTGGATCATTTAAGTGTTAAATTAAAAAGTAAAATGATCACTTAAATATCAACAGCGAGATATTTCAATAAAATTGAATATGTGGCTTTTTTAATTAAAAAAATATGACATGGCATATTTTTTAAAAACTAAGTCCGCGTGGAGTACAAAAAGGACAGTGGATTTCTAGCCTACGTGGTTTGTTCAAAAGAAACAACTTTGCATAGCCTCTAGCCGAAACAACGTCGCACAAAGCAGATCAAAATTGGGGCTTTGAATTCATATTCGTGCACGACACTACGAACTCCTCCTCGCTCGCTTGCCGTCGCTGGCTCGCCGCTCACCCTCACTCGCCGTCGCTTCGTTGAAACGAATTTGACTCGGTAACCCGCAAAAACAGTAACACTCACCATCTTATTCACTTCATTGAAATGAATTTGAGCCGATGCTGAAACTCCTGTCCTCCATTTGCAAGATTGAGCTAGTAATTTTGGGAGCAAACTAAAATAGGAAGTGAATTTAGGTTCAATGGCCGGTTAGGGTTTGAAATTGGGGGAGTTCTCTTTCAATTTGGGGATTTAGGGCTCTTATTTGGCGAAAGGTACTAGACGGCGTCGTTTTAGAGTTTATATGCTGACTAGACTCTCTGCCAAGCCACGATGGCTTAATAAATTAATAAAAAAAGGCCACGTCGGATTTCCGACCAAATATATCGGAGTTGGCACTGAAATGAGTGTTTTTCAAAAAATTCGGCACTTAAGTTATCCGGAAGAAACTTTTAACACTAAAGTGAATTTCGTACACAATTTTTAACACTTCTAGTGTCCTTCTCTCCACCATATATGTATTAGCACCATATAATTGAACGTGCAAGGATTTTTTTTTTTAATATCAGAATAAATGCGACTGCAATCTCGAGACTTATGTTGGAAGATATGCCGAAGATTTGTGTCATCTATCCTGATTACAATTGATATGTATAATCAATCAATGATTGTACTTGATTGATAAGAATCAATCTAGGATTAGAATAGATATATTCTTTCCTTTCATTTCTCACATTTTGTACTATATATACTTGACATTGTACATGAAGACAATACAATGAGAAGAAAAACATTACAAAAAAACTTCTTCTTCAACTTCTTTCATGGTATCAGAGCCATTCTTCCTAGCCTAGCTTCCGCACACCTTGATTGCCGTTCGGATTTTTTGCGCCTTCGTTATTGTGGGAACACTAACCTACAAAACAAGATTAGCACTCCGATATAGGAATCAGTTTTTGAACTTTCTCAAAAAAAGGGGAAAGAAAATCGTTTTTTTCTTATCGATACCATGACAAAAGATCACTCATCAAGTTTTGAGGAACGAACTCCAGAAGAGTCCACTCCGCAAGGAAATGCATCGGTCCAAATACTTACCTCGGACCCACCTGCTAAAGTCGCGAATCAGGAACATGTTCACGTCCAGCCAAACCAGGGACAACCCATCTCGGGCCAACCCACTCAAGGCCAGCTGAATATGGGCCAATCCATCCAGTGGCTACCTATCCAGATACCATCCAGCCTATGGTTTTATGGGCCAACACAACCTGTTCCATGGTTAGCAAATCAAGGCCACGGAGAACCGATCCAGCCCAATGGAGGCCCTCCAACCATCTTTGGGGCAAGCCCTGCCACTGGGTAAAAATTTTTTCATGCGGGTCAACCATTTCACACGGGTCAAGCATCCGAATCGGGTTTGGGAGCAAATCCCTACCTGGTTCCACAACCCAGTTTTTTGCCATACAAGATCGCCGCCACCAGTGGTCGCCTGGAACCCGGCGACCCATTATACACATCAACGGCCGACGGACCGGAGTTGCGACTCATTACCCAACAGTTATCCGGCCCCAACAACTACTCAGCTTGGTCGCGAGAGTTCCGACGAGCACTGGTCACCAAGGATAAAGACGAATTTCTCGACTGGACTATCCCAATTCCGTCCAACAAGCGTCTAGCGCGACATTGGAGAAAATGCAATCAACTAGTCCAAACGTGGATCGAAAATTGCATCACTCCCGAAGTTGCGGCCAGACTTCCCCCGACGGAGGATTCGAAGAAAATGTGGGAAAACATCAAGGAAATGTATGGAAAACTCGATCGAGTTAAAAAATTTTCATTAACTCAAGCACTTTCGGATCTAAAGCAGGGAAACATGACCATTGCCGCATGTTTCAACAAACTATCAGCCCTCTGGAACGAATTAGAGGCGGTCGAGGGAAAACTTGAAGGGCCGGAATCAACCCTACGGCAGTATTAGGCGATGAAAGACAAAGAAAAGGTAACTAGATTTTTCTTGATTTTAAATGAATCGTACCTATCAATCTGGTCCCAGATCGTGGCCATGGAGCCCATGCCGACGCTTGGCCAGATCTACCAACTCGCCGTCCAAGAGGAAAGCCAGCGCCTCGCCTCGTCGGAATATGTTAAGATCGGAGATGGAGTCGTGCTCGCGGCTCATGCAAACGCCCCACAGAAAGGTGCCATGAACAGAGGACAAGGAGAGAGGAGAAGGGGAACGCTAGGTTTTCTGGAGGAGGAAACAAAAGGCTTAAAAGGGAATGGAATGAACAGCTCAGATGGCATAACACGATCAGACGGCTCGCGGACTGCTCCACCATCATCTGGATTGGACGGTCTTCAAGAAGCCGCGACAACCCCCATCTTCAAGCCATCCAATGGCTCATATTCTTCCACGTCATCAAAGAATAATTATAAAGGCAAGGGAAAACTATATTGCGATTATTGTAAACGTCCGTATCACATGGTTGATACTTGCTGGAAATTACATGGCAAACCTAGAGAAAAAGGAAAAAGGGAATTTTCAACGGCTTATCAAGTTACTAGTCAAAGCACAGACAAAAGTAATTAGCCAATTACCCATGATCAGTACTAGCAACTTATGAAGACAACACTATGAAATGATATTCTCAAGCATGAAATGTTGCTAAATTGGAAGGAAGATACGAGATGACAAAGTACAAAGACAGAACATAGGCCATGACAAAAGGAGTACAAAGACAGACAAAATCAATGAGACTAGCTCGCACACGAGAGGGAGACAGAGGGAGGAGGAAGAAGAAGAAGACGACACTATGAAATGATATTCTCAAGCATGAAATGTTGCTAAATTGGAAGGAAGATACGAGATGACAAAGTACAAAGACAGAACATAGGCTATGACAAAAGTGTGTAACATACAAAAGTTTTCTTCAAAGTTTTCAAACAACAAAGAGATCTCTATTACTTTGCAATCCAACGATCACAAACTCATCAAGAATCGGTTTCTCGAAGGTTATATAAGTCCCGCGACAAGAGAGCATCACCTCTTGTGAATTGAAGAAGAAACAAAAGAACGTTGACGTTCTATGGTGTTCGGTTATGGAAATTCCCTCTATTTCCATTTTCAGTCGTCATTTAGAAACTGAAACCATTAGAGAAGGCAAGTTTGGTGCAAAAAGAATGGTGAAGTGGTGAAACAGATCGACCTAGGCAATTGGAAAGATGCTCCGGCTTTGTGAGAGCAAATTGTTGTGCAAAAGCATCCAACGCGATGTTTTCGCTCGCAATGGTTTACGCAACAAAGCTTAAATTCATCGAATAGAAATCATATACTACAGCTAGAGATAGATATACCACTATAGATGAGTTGCACTATAGTAAAACGAGCGGATACAGTTTCAAGGGTGACGCGAGCATGCAGAGTGAAGCAAGCTCACCATGCCAAAGGAGGTGATCAAACTGTTCCAAGGACTTACTCAAGGGACATGATTCGTTGACCATAGCTATTCGCCTAAGTATGAGTTTACGGACCGCACCCAAATCGGTTAACGATTTCCACCAAATTCTCTTCAGAAAGATTAGAGGCACGGCGAGACATGTCAATTGTTATTTTAGATAGACCATGTTTGTTAAGAAAAAAGCATGCAAAAATGGATTCTTCTACTCTCCAAGGAGGAGAGAGGAGTGATTACTTCATCTTAAACGACAAGCTAAATAGCAAAGCAGAAATTTTACCCCTTAAAGTCAATGAAATTAAAGCCACTTTCTCATAGAAGGCTGCTTTCAACAAATGATTCTTGCAAGTGATAAACATTTTAGCCAAAACATCGAAACCAAAACTCACCGAACAGCCGCAACCCGCAATCCACGTGATGCTTACAAGTGTTGAAGCCCGCCTGTTTAATGCAAGATGATCTCTCATGTCAAGAGCCATGGATGCCACGAGGGAGTTCATTGTGCCACTAAAGACAGAAGAAAAAGAGGAGTCAATGGATGTATTCTTCATTAACATCACTTCTTGTTGGGTTGCAACTTTGTGATCCCTGGCAGTTTAAGCTTCAAAAGACATAAGAATCAACAAGGTTAGCCACTCTAGCGATCGATAGTGGGAAAGCTTGCAGAAAAGCAGGTCATCTTACAGCTCAGTGAATCTTCCACACACTTTGTATTCTCATTAGAGTAGCAACAATAAAGAGCTGACAATTTGCTGCATAAGCTCATTCAACGGCTCGGAAAATCAATTTAGTCAAGGTAGATCAAACAGCTGCAGAGATTTCAAGAATTTACTTCTGCTCTGTTAGCCTCTTACCACGGTGATAGGCTCACATAGAACAGGACCAGTAGCACAGTATCATCATACCCCAAAACAAGCAACGATACAGAATGGAAAACTCAGCTCTTATGATCTCATATCATAAGCCCAAGATCCATGCACGAAAGGATGGAATCC